ATTAACTCGGGAATCACGGAAAGATATTCATCCTTCAAGGTTTCGAATTCAGCTTTCATGCGCTTGCGCGTGAAATTTTTAATTATTTTCCAATGTTTGATCTATTTTTGCATAGAAAAAAGTACAAAGCAGTGAAAATCATTAACAGGCAATCGTTCGATTGGCTGAATTGCACAAAACGCATGGTCACACCAGCTAGTCTGATGCGCGTTGTTATTTATAATTTTTACTTCTACCTTTTAATTTTTACCTTTTTTATAACCATATCTAAATTTGAATATCTTGATTTATAATTTGTATCCAACTTCAATACGAAATGTGTATTTTACTCCCGTCCCGTTCAGTGACAACTGGAAATGTTGTTTTGAAGTTCCCATGCACTCAGTCTACTATTCTTTTCGCCCAGTTCATATGCTACATTACTGTCCTTAACAATGATTAAAAACCGCACTTCCCCATCTCTCACCTTCACCTAAACTCGATCATCACAAACGAGGGAATTTCTTTCCCTTCTTGTTGCAGAAGGCAATAATACACTGCAATTCCTGTGTGGTACTTTTTGTATAAATCTAATCGAATCCTGCTTGTCCACACGTGTCCCCACACTTTCAAAATCAGCCTTCAAAAACGACCGGATCTCACGAACAGCAACGTGAAATTTTCGGAGCTCAAAATAACTCCGGAGCCACAAAAGCTAGGAACCTGGAAATTTAGAAGGATATTCCCCCGTCCAAGTGTGGTCCAGAAAATTTGAAAATTCCCTCTTGATGTACGCCTAGGTCTCATACACATTCACGACAAAATCTCGGCGTCACAACTGACAACTTGGAAACCACAAAAACTAGGAAGATGAAATTTTAAGAGAATGTTCCGCTGCTCATGTAGTACCGCAAATTTAAATTCAGCCTTCTCGTGCACTCAGTTCTCACGTACGGCCATGTAGAACTTTTGTCGCTAAAATTTGTAACAAGGGAACCACAACAACTTGCGAAGTCGTGCTTTTTGTCAGTAGTATTAAAGATGTGAATTTCCACTAATATAAAAATGCGAAAAACAGGGCGCCGTCATCGAATTCATGTGTGTCAAATTTTAGGCCTCATCGATGCACGACCGAACCTATTCCAGCTTTACTTGTAAACAGTTTCCAGAAGCATTCGGCAGCAACACAGAACAGCTTTTCTTGCAAGGCACACTGCTGCTTCGTTGGGATAAAAAACAGATTTATCAAACTAATCATGATAAAATAACAAATCAGTGCAGTGATAAGTGATTGAAGATAATAATAACGAGTGACTGGGAGAGGGAAGGGAATTGCTGTTACACATATTAAAAAGACTGGAAAAATACTAAAACAGAGGAAAAATGCGTATAACTGTTACACAGTGAACGCAGCCAAATTTATTATCAGCGCAAGTGAATCAATATTTTTGCAAATAAAAATAAAAAAGAATAAATTTCACGGGGATTTCTGTGTACTGCTGGCTAAACAAAAATGACAAATGCAGCTGTCCACGGGGATGAAAGAATTACCGGAAGAAGTGATACGTACACATACCCACAATACACACATAGCGAAAGAGGCAAGAAATGCTTCCCAGGGAACGAATACCAAAGCAGATGGACTGGAATAAGGTACATGACTTGGTAGAATTTTATCAAAATTTCTGAATTTATGTTGGAATTTTATCAAAAATCCTTTAAAAAACCGGAATTTCAAGTTTTTAAAGCTAAAACGAACTTTTTTTTTGGCTGTTTTCTTCATCCAATTTCTCCTAGCATGCATTTCACTAAAATAAGGGTTCGAGTTTTTTCCTCTCCCCTTACTTAATTCATTTACATTGTTCTTCATCACTTCACTTCACTTCTCATAAAGAATATTTTACCCATTTTCCTTCAATCTCTAATTCCTTCCAGGTTTTAGTAACTGTGACGGTACAATCCTAGAAAAGCGCTACTCGCAAAATTCAGTAAAAATTTGGCTCTCGGGAGCAAAATACCCAATTCAGAAAGTAAAATACCCAGTGAGAAAAGAGATTTTTTACATCCGTCTATTATTATAAACTGGACGCAGATCCACAAAGATCCGAGATTTTCAACTTCTAAGCTAGTCAAACTCCGTTTCTCGCTCGGGGCCTAATCGAATTCAAACCCAAATGCCGAGAAAATGGCTTCTTTCAAGCAGGCTAACATTCTAAGAAATGCCAGTACATTACACCAAGTTCATTTACAGAATACCTTTTCCCGCACTGGGACAAAACACCGCTGGAAAAACGAATCACTGGGCAAGTTTACTTTGGACCGGATTTCAAATCACAGTGGTTAATAGTGCAGTTCATCCCCTCTTCTTGCCCTTAGGGTATTGTGGACATTGTGGGATGCTAGAAATGCGCTCACAAATAAAAAATTTGGACAGAAAATAGGTAAAACATTGCAGTAAGATGATGCGCGCTGGGAAGGAAACATTAACAAATTTACTTGAACTTTTTGGATAAAGCCGGGACAAACTGGGTATAGGAAGGGCTCAGCAAGAACCATCATTTTAATCTTATAGTACCATACACAGCTGAAAACCGGAAATTACATAATTTTGTAGTAGAAAACAGGGAATTTTCGCAAAAAATCGAAAAAAATAAGCAGTCGCCAGTGCTTGCAAGCAGGAGGGTCATTTCCGAAAAAAGGGTCATTTCCCTGTACAGGCATAATTTCCTTTGAATACTGGAAATCAGTACAGTGGAAGCAAATAAAAGGCAAGCTAACGAAGTAATGGCTGATGAAAATGGGCTTCCCCGGGGACAAAACAGTTTTTGGGAGGCAGAGAGGTGTACTGAAAAATTTCTTCCAAATTTAAAATACGCATTTTTCGAAGATATTAAGGTTTATCACTAATTGGATACCCACAAAGTACGCCAGGGCAGCTTTGGCATTCTTGCTGCTGAAGTTTGTATAAAAAAAATAAAAAATGAAGGGGACTTCATAGGACTGCATATAAGTAAGAAATTAGGGATTTTTTTTTATTAAGAAGCTGATGCGGATGGAAAGAGATACGAAGAGAGACATAGGCTATCCGTAAACGGGATTTCTTGCTATTTCGTTTTAAAGTTCGACAAGAAAAAGCATAAACGAAGAGAGAGACTGTCAACTCAGTGAATCTGTATGCCCGTAAGTTCGATATCGCCCTGGATCTGCAGACCAGTGATGTCATGCGGGTCCGAACGATGCGCAAACGATGCAAATCGAACATCGTTCACGAAGATCTGCAAATACAAAAAAATTAAGCGTTTTTAAAATTCGCAAAATTGCAAAAGTGAAACTGGCTACAAAATAGCAAAGCTAAAAAAAATTTCAACAAGCACACCCCGATTCAACCAAAAGCTACAGAAATGTTCGCAAGTATTCGCTATGGCCTCTGACCTATTTAAATACTTCCCATTCTTATCACAGTGATGGAGGTATAAAATCCAAGATTACCAGATGCAGTACTCCCACCACGAATGTGTTATTTTAAATCTAGGTATTTTATAATTATGAAAGATTGTAAAAAGATGCAAATGAAAAAATAAAACAAAAAATAAAAATAAAATCTGAATGGGAATGTTTCGGTCCATTAAGTCGCATACATTCCTATTCAGTGCTGCAACTGGACCTCGTGTTATGCCGGCAATGCGCTGTGACATGTTATGCCGAAGCCACGCCCACTCGGCGCGCGCCACAGAACGCTCACAGCACTCTCTACAAAGAGCTCCCTTTGGCACATTTCTCATTGTTGTTCTTCGTGTTGTTTTACTTCGTCGTCTAATACAACGTTCTCCCCTTCGCTACAGGAGCACCACACATACTCGACCAGGATTAGGAAATAGTGACCATCAGGCAATGCAGCAATTCCGCGAAAAAATTAACAAAGCCAAAAATCAATTTTTTCATATTTGTC